CTGCACAATTAAGAAAGAAACATCAAGATGCTGTTAATGGTAAATATCTGTTGTCTTTTTTTCTCTGAGATATGATCTAAAACAACTATTGACATATGAAAGTACACATTTAGATTTTTCTCCTAATAATAATGAATAATAGGTCAGTGTGTCCGGCCGTCCATTTACACGATAACTTTCGAAAGGAGAGTTAGATTTCAATGAAACTTTCTACATAGTTCAGTCTTTATGATATCTCGATCGAGTTCAAAGATGAGAAGGATTCATCAAGAAATGACTGAGTTATCGAAAAAATTGTGATTTTTGTCCAGACCATCCCTGAGGGGGAGGGGTACGGGAATTTTTCGAAAAAAAAATTTTTTTTTCATAATTATTCACAAAATACATAAATCGACTCAGTTTTTAACACTGATTCTAAATTTGATATTATTTTTGAACCGAATCAGAGTTTTAATGTAATGTTGTCAATAGCCTCATGAACTCATAATTCGAGTTCTTTTATCGGATCAGAGATATGTTACTTCGAGTTTCTCTGGTTCACAGAACTTAAATCTGCACATCATTTGTTTCAAAGCTGCATCAATTGATCAGTAACTATTTAAATCAACTTATGACAAAAAATGGTTCACTTAGAATAATTAAAGGCGAGAAGTTTAAATGTGAGTTCTATTCTACCCAAAATCTTTGTCAAGATGCAAGAGTGAATAGAAGTCGTGTTTATAGAAAAGATGTATCATGATAATTTTGAAGTTTGCACAGTTTTTTTTTATTATTCTCGTTGAATAATTTAAGTTAAATAACAATGCTAGTTTAACAACTATGTTATTGTTTTTTTTTAGGAACAATTAAACAAATTGATGACTAATTTAAAACAAACTCATCCACATTTTGTTCGTTGTATTATTCCAAATGAAATTAAAACTGGAGGAATTCTTGATTCACATTTGGTTCTTCATCAACTTCATTGTAATGGTGTACTTGAAGGTATTCGTATTTGTCGTAAAGGTTTTCCAAATCGTATGATTTATTCGGAATTTAAACAACGTTATTCAATATTGGCACCCAATGCTATACCAAAAGGATTTGTTGATGCTAAAAAAGCTACTGAAAATATTCTTAAAGATATTCAATTATCTGATGAATTATATCGATTAGGTATAACAAAAGTATTTTTTAAAGCTGGTGTCTTAGGTCAACTTGAAGATATGCGTGATGTTGCATTATCAAAAATTATTGCAACATTACAAGCACAAATTCGTGGTTATCTTATGCGTAAAGAATATAGAAGAATGCTAGATCAACGTTTAGCATTAGGAGTTTTACAACGTAATCTTCGTAAATATTTATCATTACGTAATTGGCCATGGTGGAAATTATATACAAAAGTTAAACCATTATTATCTGTTGCAAGACAAGAAGAAGAAATGAAAAAACTTGAGGAAGAATTTAAAGCATTAAAAGAAGCTTTAGAAAAAGAAGAAAAATTACGTAAAGAATCTGAAGAAAGTAATGCTAGATTAACTAAAGGTATTATAAATTAAAATTTTTTGTTTTGAATATTGTTTTTAATTATTATTTTTATTTTTATTAAGAAAAAAATGATATGTATTTACAAGTTGAAGCTGAACGAGCAAATACAGCTAGTGCTGAAGAACGTCTTGCACGATTAGTAACACAAAAGGCTGATCTTGAACAACAAGTCAAAGATATGGAAGAACGTATTAATGAAGAAGAAGAAGTTTCAGCTGAATTAAATAATAAACGAAAGAAACTTGAACATGATATTGACGGTTTAAAGAAAGATATTGATGATATGCGTTTGAATTTACAAAAATCAGAAAACGAATGTAAAACACGTGATAATCAAATTCATACATTACAAGATGAAATGGCACAACAAGATGAAACAATTGCTAAATTAACACGTGAACGTAAACGTCTTGAAGAACAAAATGCTAAAACAAGTGAACAATTACAAGCTGAAGAAGATAAAGTTAATCATTTAAATAAACTTAAATCAAAACTTGAACAAACATTAGATGAATTAGAAGATAGTTTAGAACGTGAAAAGAAAGGTCGTGCTGATTTAGATAAAGCAAAACGTAAATTAGAAACAGATCTTAAAGGATTACAAGGTACACTTGAAGATGTAGAAAAATCCAAACGTGACTTAGAAGAAAATCTTAAACGTAAAGAACAAGAAATTCAACAAATGGGCAGTCGTCTTGAAGATGAACAAGGACAAGCTTCAAGTCTTGGAAAGAAAATTAAAGAATTACAAGCACGTGTTGAAGAATTAGAAGAAGAACTTGAAAATGAACGACAATCTAGAACGAAAACAGAAAAACAACGAGCTGATATAGCACGAGAACTTGATGAAGTACATGATCGATTAGAAGAAGCTGGTGGTGCTACAACAGCACAAGTTGAAATGAATAAGAAACGTGAAAGTGAATTAGCTAAACTTCGTCGTGATTTAGAAGAAGCTAATCTTCAACATGAAGCAACAGCTGCACAATTAAGAAAGAAACATCAAGATGCTGTTAATGGTAAATAT